CACCGCCTTACCGCAGCCGGCCTCGGTTATGCTGAGCTAGGGTGGGTTAGTGCTGGTTCTCCCCGTGTCCTCGGAGCTGCTTTCTCCGCGGCTGTGGGTTGTGAGCCTCGGGCTGAGGAAGGGCTCTGAGCCCTTTGGCTGGAGCAGCGTGTCCCCACGACAGTGGTGCTGGCCCAGGCTCTTGAAGAGCTCTGGTGGTGCGGGGGGCCTATGTGAATTTGGGAGGATTCAGCCTTCAGTTCCCCTGTGAAGGTGGGATGAATGTAGCCTATGCTTGCGATCACAGGAGAGGAAAAGTGAGCTGTTTTGTAGGAGTAATTTAGAAAACAGTGATTTTAAAGAAGGTTATTTTTAATGTTGGGAGAAGTTTCTTTTAATGAGTATCACGATGATCACATTGCTCCTCTATTTTCAGGGAGGTGCAGACCGTATTTCAGAGTAAAATAGAGATATGTGGAAATAAATGGTAGGTGGTCCGTAATTTCACATTACAAACTGGCTTTGAAATTTTGCAGGTAAGAGTATGCTGTGCTGTTGAAGCAGTCACAGCACAGTGGAAAACAAACAAAAAAAATTACCTGCAGGATCCAGTAGATGATCCAGGATACTCTGTTAAGGCCACTTGGGAAGCTTTGCTGCTTGCTCATGCTTGGAGAATTTTTCAGGTGCACGCATTAGTTGGGAGTATAATGGTGCATTTTTCTCTGGATGCCTTTGCCACAGCAGATGCCCAGCTGCTTTGTAGCTTTGTACTTTTTGCTCTGCTTACCTGAGGGCAGACAAGGTATTTAGTTGCCTCTTTAATCTTTCTCCTGTTTTGTGTCAGCACCATCAGCCGTGCTCAGCAGGATATGATGTTTCAGTTGTATCACAAAACAGTTATAAAATGCAGTGTTCGCCTTTTACTTTTTTCTGGATTCCTTCTCTGTAAATCTGCTCTGAGTATGCTCAGACTTTTGGGGTTTGTTTCAGGGGTCAGTGAAATCAATGGAAAGATTGCGATTAGCCTGAGCCTGTTCCTCAGTTGTGTTGACAGTATTAAAAGCAAGCTGTTTGCACGAGAGGCCTGCTGCCATCCCAGTCGAGCGGTTTTCACACTTCCTTTTTTCCTTCCTACTGTCCCTCCATCAGTTCAGGGAAACAGACACTGGTGCTCTGCAGAGCTTTAGGAAAGCTCCCTGTGCCAACCATGGCTTTGTGTCTGGTGGGCATTCCTGCTGGGAGCTGCTGATGGTGGGCCAGGGACCGGAGCTAAGGTTAACAGAGGTGCAGAGCTGGTGCGCAGAGTGAGTGCTGTTGGGATGGTAGACTACGTGGTGTTAGCTGGGCTCAAAGAGAACAGTTTTCCATGCCTGACCTCTGTCTTGGTTTTAATTATTAGCAGAAGTCACATGGAGGCTTGTCCTGACAAAGATTGTCTCCCTCCAGAGAAGTCACCCTATTTTGAAACATCAAAATTATCACCTCCACCATTAGTAGGCTGTCCCCTTTTTGCTGATGACTGCTAAATTTTGTGCAATATGAACTTCACAAATTTTTTTTGCAGAATAACATGTTGAGCTATGCCTGTGATTTGCTTTTTCAGGGCAGCCTGAAGAGCAGCTGAAGTGCCAGTTTGCCTCTGCTCTCCTTTGTATTTCCTGGATGCTTGAGCTAGTGGTGGTGTGCTGACAGTTTATTACTATCATCATCAGTGTTGTGCTTTGACTCCAGGTGTTGCAGGTCTCAGTGTAGGAACTGCCAGAATCAATCAGATTTTGTACTGCGTTCCATATTTTAGGGAAGTGGTCACAACACCAAGCCTGTCAGAGTTCAAGAAGCATCTGGACGATGCTCTTAGTCATGTGGTTTAGTGTTAGGTAGTCCTGTGAGGAGCAGGGAGTTGGACTCGATGGTCCTTATGGATCCCTTCCAACTTGAGATATTCCCTGATTCTATGGAACAGCACCAAGGTGAACTGGTGCCATCAGAGAGTCGAGCTCTGCGAGTCTGCGAAAGCTTGCAAAGCCCGGCTGTTTGGCCGGTAAGATGGGATCTCCTGTAAGAAAGGGCAGAAAACCCTGCAGTGTTTGTTCTCATTCTTCTGAGCGTGTCTTTTTGGGGAGAGGTTTCAAAGCCCTGTGTTCCTGCGGCAAGGAGCTGGGTAGGGTGCGTGATGACAGATAATGAGACTTGGTGGAGAGCACGGCTGAGAAATGCAATTTGTCCTTCCCCTCATTTTCTTCTGAGATTTTTGTGTTGTTTCCTCTGCGGGCCTGTTCACGTTCTCCTGTGAAGGTGGGTGCTTGGTTTTCCCCAGTGGTTTCTTGAATGAGAGATGTCTTGGTCTTTTAACAGAAGATTTTGGGCAGAAGGTTTGTATTTTGCTTTGCTGTCTGTGCCTGTTGGAGTGAGACTTTCCCCAGATCATGGCAAGACATGGGAGCTGTCAGTTCTTTCTCTGTCCTGAAGGCGTGGCTGGGGTTGTCAGATGATCATAGGGCCTCTGGGAAAGAAGTACCGCATGTGTCAGTGGATGACAGCTAGCCTGGGAAATATTGCAAACTGCGTGCTTGATAAAATGCCCAAGGGTTCCTTGCACAAGATGAGGAACTCTGTGTGTGAGGAAGGGTCTGATTTGATCTGTGTGCAAGGTTTTGCACTAAAGCTGGATGCTTATTGTAGCGCCTTTTCAGGTTTGTTGTGCTGACATTTGCATGTAGTAATTCTAATTCACCAAAAATCATAGCTTCAAGAGATGAGCAGTGTTCGGCATCTGAGAAGAAGATGACTGAAAATGATCAAAGTGGGTAGGTCCCAGAGGAAAAAATCTTTACCAGCAGGAAGGCTGCCT